AAAATTGTTAGTACAACCCACGTACAACCATTGACTGTAGTACACGTTTCTGTGTTAAATGATGTCTAAAATAATACATTTTTTTAAATATTCAATAACCACTTTATAGTCCAAGCTGTGAGTATGACGGCGATTGCTTTGATGTGTAAAAACTTAATTGCGCGATAAACAACCCATATTTATTTTTCCGATGTAGCTGATAAAAGAATTTTGAACAGGCTGTAGTCTTTACTCAGAAATTAAAGAAAATCATAACCTCAATCATCAATTCGCCAAACCTAACAAAAACAGGTAATAGCTTATAGTCCGCGCATGCGCATTAAAGGCATCATATTCCTACGTTTAGCCGCCAGTTTAAAAATGGCCACTTTCGCCATGGCAACTAAGTTTTGGCAGGATTTAAAATGAGATGGGGCAAAATAGCCGTATAAAAACATTAAACTGACAATATTTCGAAAACTAAACAATTTTGGAATAGACAACCTTACACAAACTTACCCTTATTTCTAATACTCAATAAGATAAAATTAACGAAAATGGGGGTTTCCATTTGAAAAAAATGATTTAGGGCGATTTTGTCAACGTCAGTTTCTTTAACACTTTGTATTAATAGTTTTCAAAATGTTGTCTAAATTGCATTAAAGTAAGTGCTTATCAGCAAGAAATTCGACTCAAATTAAGTAGCACAAATTCCCTTATAGGAAAAATGAATAATTATTCGAGTTCAATCAAACAAGTTTCTGTAATGAAGTGTGTATGAGCGTTTAATTAAGGCCTAGCGCTTTTGACAATCACGTCATCATCAGGGCCACTAAAAAACAACAAACAAAGCAATCTCTTTAAGTCTTCCTTTAATCTTATTTTATTCTTATTTATTATAATTTAAACTTTAGTCTGTTTTCTCGTAAGTTTCCCATATACAATTTTAACCCTTTAGACCATTTTTGACCATTGTTTTTGCATGCTGGGTTCGGTGCTCTTGGGGATGTTTGCTTGTAATTTGACGAGTAAGTTTTGTTTCCATTTACTTTGTTTTGTCTGCGTGATATCCTCCAGGTTGCTTACTGTTGCTTTGTTGGTTGTTTTTTAGTGGCCCTGATGATGACGTAATTGTCGAAAGCGCTGGGCCTTAATTATATATTACATATTACAGAAACTTGTTTGATTGAATTTCATCCAGTGCGTACACACCAACTTCTTCTTGTTGAATTATTCGAGTGGCTGCAACTGTCATTTTTTACATAAAATTTCAAATATATCAAAAACGGTTAGACTTTAAAAATGTAATAATATATAGGGTGTTCCATTTAAAATAAGCAAGTTCATACCTACTTCCGGTATAACCGGAACTGTAGCCATGTTGAAAATATTTTAGATCGCTTGCCCCCAATAACTACGGCACACTGTTGTTTTGAAATTTGAAAATTGATTTCAAATTTCTCCTAATTATAGTTTGCCAGATATCGATCGCAGCAAACCCTGTATAGTACATAACAATCACGAGATTTTCCTTTGAAGAAAAGTGCAACGAATGCATTACAATGCATATAATTTGCGACCCGTTCGGACCAGAGACAAGTAATAATTACTTCTCTGGTTTATTATAGTATTACTTGTCTCTGGTTTGGACGACCGAGCTGAGACATATAATTGGCATAACGTTTTCTGTGTATCGTGATCGAGATCAATAATAAAAAATCAAAATATGCACGAATCTAGTTGTGTTGTGTATCATATGATATTATTTTTAATCGTTAAATATTAAAGATCCACTAATCGAAATCG